TTGTTTAAAGGTTTGTAGTTTATTACTAATCGGGAACTACCTCTTTCTAATTCAGCAACATTGACAACATAAAATGCAGAGCACCTCCAGGGAGACTTACTCAGCCTAATCAAACCTTTTTCTAAATAATTTTTTATTTCTTTTTTACAATAATATAAATGCTGCTTATTCATCTGTATGGGCCTGACTTTAGTCGGAATATCTTTTTCTTTAAAGTCAAGCTCACGAGGTAAAGAAATAGTATGTATCTTTCTTTTCCATAAGGCATTAGGCCGTTCAGAACAAAGATCTTTAGTAAACTTATTTTGCATAATTTCAATTTTCTTGAACACATGAAGACGGCAATTGTTCTTTTATTCTTTTAAAATGTATTTCTTTGTTAATGAAATTAATCCATTTTATTTTATTATTAAACAAAAGATATATCTTGACTTTGGATAGAGTTAAGATCTCTAATCTTAGGTTGGTCTAAAAATTTAAATTTAACTTCACGACCTAAAGCATTAGTGGTTATAGATAAGTTATCAACGATGAGATGATAGAGTAAAGCTAGGAAAGGGGTTCATAGAATATTTTTAACTAAAAGAAAAGAAGTTTTATAACATATTTGATATCTTTCAGATCTTAGCATTAGATGGTTTATAAGACACATATAACCTGTTACCATTGGCTCCTCGTAAGGATTCTTTGGTCTTTTTTGTAATATTGAGTTGGAATTAACCCCTCTTGGATGCTGTTTAAATATGCCCCTGAGTCTATTAAAGAAATTAGTTCAAAAAAATTATCTTTAATAATGATATTTATTTTACTATACCATTTATGGGAAATCATCTTTTCTATTTTATTGATATAGGGATCTTCATTGGTAGAAACAATATTATCTTCGTTAGTTTCCTCATGGTTTTACTAGATGAGGCTAACATATGTTGATTTTGAATAACCATGTGTCCTTGTAGTTCTAAAAGCTTTAGTTTTATCTCATTATCCCGGGTTTTTAGAGTTTGTATTTCATTTTTTTAACTCTTAATTTCTTCTTGTAAGTCATTAATAGAAACATTTTTCTCAACGGGTTTATTTTAAGTAAGTTTATAACATCTCTAAATTCTACTTTGTTAACATGCTTTTTGCAAATATCATTTTCGTCAATAATGTTTTTGATTTGTATCATGAAAGCATTCTTACTCTCAAAATCTTCCATCTTATCTAATATCCCTATTAGGTTATTAGCTTGATGATTAGTGAGAACATTAATTCTTTTGTTACAACTATCACAATTACAAAAATCTATTCCTAAACATTCATCAGAATCAAAATATGAATCTTTAGAATTATTAATTTGATGAATTTCTTCATAAGAAGATTTTGCATAAGATGAAGAACTATCTTCTTCTTCAGAATTTATCTAGATATTATTTAACGTAGATATCAAGCTTTCTTTTAACTCCTCTGAAATGTCTAAATTTCCTAATTGATTAATTTTCCCTTGAATCTTACACTTATTAGCATACTGGCCAAAACGAACACATTTAAAACATTTGACATCTTTGTCTTTAAGTTTAAATTTGAAATAGGTTTTTTTTTGTAAGGTTTCTTACCATAATTTTTCTTGTAAGGGGCTTTGTAAATTTCAGAGTTATCTTTGTAAGGTTGTTTTCTACGGTAACACAAGTTTTTCTTATATTTACTAACAACCTTTTTATTCTTAGGGTTACTAGGAGCTCTTAAAGGAGTAGCTTCATATTTCTCGCAAAATTAACCCATTTTGCGCCTATTACTCTTTTTTTTTCATTTTTAATCTTGTTTTGAAGTTTGTAATCAGTGCAAATTTATATACCAGTTTCAATAACATAATTGGATAATTCTCCCATAGTTAAGGATTGGTAAGGAATAATCTCGTTAAAATTTTGTTTAACATTTGTCTTAACCTTTTCTACAAATAGTCTAGGTAAACCACTAATAAATCTTTCTTTCTAATATTCAGCAGAACCATTCGGCCTAAGAAAGAGTTTAGAAAGAAACATATCTCTATACCACCTATAATCAGACACGGTTGGGCAATAAATATTTAGTGATTGGTCTGAGGCTCTTTGTCGGAGCTTTAGAGGCTCTCCTACAAAGAACTTGGTAATAACATACAAGGGAGTTGTAACACAAATGGCTTCATTGGATTTTGTTTTAACAACTGATTTTATTTTGATCTTGTCTTCCGGACTAAGGATATTATCCCACCATCCTGTTAATTTCCTTGTAAACCCCATGACTAGTATATCTTTGGTACATTTTTCAGTATTTTCCTTGAGTTTAAAAGTTGTAGTAGCCATAGTCATATTTTTTATGGTGTCTAATACTTGTTGTTCTGAAGCACCATCGATGTTCCATTCAACAAGGGATTCTCCAAAATAAATATTTTCAATAAAACTACTTCTTTCTTCGAATTTCACATCGGTAAATGAAGGTCTAGGATAATAGTTTCGGGTTTTAGGCCTTGAGGCTCTTCCACCTAATTTACTCTCCATATTATTAAATTCTTCTTCTCAAGATAAATTATTTATCTCTCCCGATGAATTTTCCATGCTTAAGGTCCTTAATTTTTCAACTAATTCTTCTATCTCATGGTTAGCATCACACCTAAACTCATACCCTTTAACTTTTGGATAGAAGAAGTATGGTAATGATAAATTGGTCGGGTATGGTCTATTTTAAATTCTTTAACTTCCTTAGGTTGAGGGACAAAGTTTTCTATTCTGTCTAATTGTTGAGAAATAGTGTGAAGTATTTGGTTTGAGTAATTCATCTGACTAAGCAAATTATTTATGTCTTTTCGTTATTTTGTAGGATTGGTAATTGATTTAAAGGGAGAAGTATCTATTTCTATGTTTTCTTTGACATGTGTAACTTTATGGCTTCTAAAGGTGGATGGATGGATTCTATTATATCTTTTCTAACAGTCATCCATTTAGTGCTAATTCTAACATTAACATCTAAGTACTTCCTAATAGCAAAAGGATTTTCTATCTCTTCTTCTAAACAGAATAATTCAAACCATGTAAACATTAATATCATGTTTTTCTAAAAAGTTATAAAACTTTTGTAAATGCATTTGGGTATGATTTTTATAGAAAGATAAGAAATACACCTTCTTTTTTCTAAATTATATTCAACCTAAAAATTAGCTCTAATCCAATCTTTGTTTATGAGAAAAGGTTCGTTATTTTTAATAACACCTAATATTTGGGATTCGATTGGAGAAGGTGAACTAGAGGTTCTCTCTGAATATATTGGTTGGGGAATTGTAGGAGCAACGTTTACTCCTGTAAGATTAACCCTAATTGTTGAATCAACTGAATGTCTAGCACTAGATTTTGATCCAATGCTGCTAGATTAATGATAACGATATGATTGGCTTTTATTCATCCTAATCCTGATAGATCCATCAATATCCTGAATAACGTCTCTAATATTTATGGCCTTAATCTTATTAGATTTAACCACGTCTTGTAATATCCATTTTTTGAGAAAAAATTTCTAAATTTCTGAAGCAGTCAATACCTTTGGGGTCATAACATTAGACCTACTAAGATTTGCTTCAATAACACAACTTTCATTTCTTGGAGTCGTTTTAAGTGATTTAAATTCATAATTAACATTAAAGAGTTTTTAAGTGATTCTACTAATAACGTCAATATTGGTAACTCTAGGATTAAAATTATCACTTAGACCTTGAACATATATAACTAATGAGTTCTTAATGAATTCATTAGCTAGGCTCATAGAGTAATTGGGATGACAGCTAAAGTAGACAGGAGCATCGTTAAGTTTTGATTCAACTATATCAATAGTTGAATTATGAAAGTCTTTAATTCTAGTGTCTCAAAGAACTAACAATATAAGAGTGTTTAACCCTAGTTTATGTAATAATTTTATAGCTATCTGAATTAATCCTAAATGGATATAACGATAACCTTCTTTATAATGCGTTTCTAATAATTTCTTATTTAATAACTTAATAGTTTCATGCTTGTTGCTAACAGAAATAGAAAATTCAATAGTATGAATAATCTTGTGTCTTTTAAAATCAAAAGTACCAATCTTATATATTTTTTCTAATTTAATTTATGGCATAAAACAATTTACTAATCTATTTTTCATCTCCTGAATTTCTAATTCTTGCTTTTGAAAAGTATCTTGATCAAATTCAATTTTATCATTACTTAAAGTGGCAGGAACTAAGGCTCGGTTAATAATTTGAGACATGGTTACTAAACTATTTTATTGATTATTTTCTCAGTTTTCTTAGGTACTCTCTATCTCTCTCCTCTCCATTATTGTTTGTTTTCTTAATGGTCACTATAGTGTGTTAAACCAACAGTTTTACTGCCTCACTACTTAGACTTACGACCTAAACCACACAGCACCTAGCACCTGCAGGTACTCTTAAAGAAAATTAAATTTCAAGGTTATATTGAAAATAAATAGTATATATATATATATGGTTAGTTAGTTAGTGGTGCAAGCCACTTCTTGAAAATTGAAAAATTATTATTTTTACAAATAAACGGACGCACAATTTTTTATTAGATGTATGTAAACACATATACAATTACATAAGAAATTTTTATAATTATTAGAATTGTTGTTACCTTTTATGTCACGCTTTAAGATAAAGCAAAAGTAATCGGATGAAATGAAAAGAAGAAAAAAAAAAACTATTGAAGAAAAGAGATACACGAAAGTAAAACAAAAGAAAAGCAAAGCAATAAAGAAAGCAAACAAAGACAAAAGGTTCTCAAAACTCTATGATTATTATTCAAACTTTTTCAAAAATAGGTCCATCCAATGGCGTGGTGCTCCCCCTACTTAATCAACCTTAGTATGACCTCTCAAAGTTTCCTCAAAGACCTTGTTTAGGACTGAAGAGAGAGAGAGAGAAGAAAATAATTTTTCTCTTTTATTTTCTTCTTTTTGTAATAAAATTCTTAAGGATTGAAGAAGCGTTAGGCATGAATAGAGGTGTGGTACAAAGCTCACCAGTTCAACAAATGATGGCTAGTAACCCTATTTGGTGGAACATCAATAACATGAGGCCTCCATCTCCACAACCTCCTCCTTTCTTTTCTACTCCTAATTCTAACTTTCTCATCCCTAATTTTTCACCAAATTCTTCTTCTTCCCTTCCTTTTCCTTCTTGGTATGATAATCATCCAGAGCTTCCGGAATCTTGGAGCCAACTACTCATGTATCTAACTCTCTTTCTCTCTAGATTCACTACTAGTTACTAAATAAATTTTAGAGAAAAAAGTTTGAAATATCTATATAAACTTCTCGTTAAATTTACTCTTCACTAAATATAGTGAAGAGCGAATTAGAAAATATTTTATTTTTGTCGGTTATTTTCATCGCTAATTTTATGCATGTTATGTTGTAATAGGGTTGAAATATATCTTGTATTTTTGGCCTACTAGATCTATTTTTGTTGTGTTGAAAAAATATTATTGCATGTTAAAAATCTAATTAATTGTTTTTTCTTTTGCTTATTAATTGGTGTGAGTTTTGTTTTGTTTTTTTATATATATTTAGGAGTGGAATTGTTGGTGAGGAAGATAAGATTGGAATGAGCCAATTTCAAAATCAAATGCTAATAACTGAAGCTCCAAATTCTTGTCTTGTTGATATTAAACAAGAAAGCTCGGGAAATAGCTATGCATATGGACATGGAAATGAAGAACTTAATTCATGTGTCACAAGTTTCAACACCAACAACATGTTAGATTTCTCTAACAATAATAATAATCATAATAATTCGGATTTGATTCATCAACCACCAGATCTATCTTCTGAGGTAAGAAAGAAAATAGATTTCATATTAATTTATAAATTTTAATTTTTCAAAAAAATAATTATACACCTTCTTCATTAAGCATCCATGGTTAGAGCTCTTATGAATTCTTTACTTTTTCTTTTCTTTTCTTGGTCAATGAGTTACATAAAACTCACTTTTCAAGAAACTTTACTAATATTATTAACACCTTTAAACTTGGCTAAGATAAAAAAAAAAAAAGCTTCCATGTTTTAGAATATTTAATTAAAAGTCGTATTTTAATCTCCATTATATAAATACCAACCTTTTTTAGGTTTGAGTAATCATAAGGTGTTCTTTCTTTTCATTCTTTCTTCATATATTGTGGTAAAAAGCTTGATAAATTTACTTCTCTTATCTTCTTTAAACAAAATAAGCCACTACACAAACCAAACAATATTTAAATAACAACTAAAAGAATACTAAACAAAAAAAAATTATTACCAAAATTAGCATCTCTAACACCTAAAAGAGAAATTAAACACAAACTTTATATATTTTTCTCTAGTTTTTTTATCCTTAATTCAACAATTTTTTTATAGTAATGCAAATTTTTTAAAAGTAATTTAAAATTAATTAACCAAAATTTATTTAATTCTACAAGTGCAATAGCACTCTATCTGGTGGGGCAATGAAGAAAGCTAGGGTTCAACAAGCTACTACAACTCAATCAAGCTTCAAGGTATTTTACAAACTTCCATGGAGAAAATTCCAATTCTTAACTCACTTTCATGCATACAAACACACAAATAAGCACACACAAACACCATGTGGGAAGTAACTATTGTCTTTCTTGCTTTGTCCAATTCTAAACCAGAATGATTCTTTTTTTATCTATTTTGTTTCATCAATTTACTATCATAGAAAAATAAAGAATCGAAAATGAGGCTAATACAACAAGATAATATAGCCAACTTTTTAGCATGTGCTATTGTCCTACACATTTTTATGATATTTTTTCTTCTTAAATTCAGGTTAGGAAGGAGAAGTTAGGCGACAGAATTACTGCCCTTCATCAGCTTGTTTCCCCATTTGGAAAGGTAATTAATTAATCCTACTTTATTCAATCATAATTTAATGCACATTTATTTGGTTTTATCATATGCTTTTTAATAGAAAGCCATTAACAATTCCATTTTCCTTATAAAGATAATTTTATCACTAAAGTTTCTTATCCCCACACAATCCAAAAAAGGGGAAGATTATTTTTTTTAAAAGAATAAATACTAAAAATCTATTCAATGTCATCAAGCATAAATCTGAGTTCCAACCAAAAGTTTCTCTAAATTAATTTTTCCAATCAAACTATTAGGTTTATATTTCAATTTTTTACATCAAAATTTATTTATATTTATGTATTAGTATAAACTAATCATTGATTTTATAAATTCATAACTTAAAAAATTAAAAATTAAAAAAATTATATTAAAATTAAGAAATTATTATAATATCAATAAGTTTAAGAAAAATTAACGAGTGTTAAAAAACTATATTAGAAAGTAAGCAATAATTATAGATTTACGTGTTATAGTAATATCAAATTATAGAATCATTTTGTATCTTTAATCATTAATATTTTATTGTTAATTTAATTTTTAAAATTATATTATAAAAATATCTTTCATTGTTACAATTTTATTTAGTTTAAATGCAACTTTAGTAGCTCTATTTAATTTTTTTTTATCCCCACTTTGAAAACTATAATTTTAGTCTATTTTTTAATTTATTTATTTTTTTGAATTTTCGTCGCCTCGTTTTAAAAATCATAATTTTAATCATTTTTTTAACTTTTTCAATATTTTTTTAACATGATATTTTGAGGGAAAAAAGGTTACTTTAATACTTTATAGTTTATTGTATTTCTAGGAATGTGACAGTGCGTTATGGTATATTTAACTTTTACAGACTGACACAGCCTCTGTCTTGTTAGAAGCTATTGGTTATATCAGATTCCTTCAGACACAAATTGAGGTGATTTATTTCTGTTTCTTTTCAAACTACCATACACATGTCAGTGATGTAGTGCACGCTGTTAAAGTTTCTTTTTAAATTTGTGTTCTTCAATTCAACATGCATTTTAGATAGTTTTTTTAATTAAATTCTAAAAATGCATGCTACTTTTTATTTTGATTAATTTGTTTTTTTTTTTTTACTATCTTTGGAATTATGCAGGCTCTTAGCTTACCATACCTCAGCAATGGATCTGGAAACACAAGACAACATTCAGTAAGAATTTTAATATTAACCCAATTCAAGTTTATTTAAAAAAAATAATCATGTTAAAAAAAATATTGCATTTGTTTGCAAAAGTTAATCTTTGCATTTGGAAGCAAATTATTTAAAGGTAGTTTATAAATTAAATAAAAAACATAAAAGTATTTATAACTTTTTAAAGTTGGAATAATCACTTTCTAGCTCTTTTGCTCAGGTTATTTTTGCTTCTTAATTATTTTATCTTGCATGTGCAAAAATTTACTGATTAATTGATTGATAGTTTATGGAGTACTAATTGAGTGATGATTGTAATCTTAGGTTCAAGGAGATAAGAATTGTTTATTTCCTGAAGACCCTGGTCAGGTATGATTTATAATTAATTGGATCCATTAGTTAATCTGCTTAAAGGTGTTTGGAAATTTTTCATTTCAATGTTCTTATACATTATAAATTAATTCTGTAAGAAAAGTTATATAACTAAAGAGAAATGTCACCAGCTTTATCAGATTTAATATTATTCAACCATATAATTAATATTTTTTACTACTAATTAAATGGAAATTAATTGTGAAGATGAATGCAAAATACAGTAATTAATATTTTTTTTACTTTTTCTGATTGCAGCTGCTACATGAACATAGTTTGAAGAGGAAAGCAGTTGAAGAGGTAATTGAAATACAATGAAGTTATATTTCTATTCTTTTATAATCATTCCACCATCTCATAATATGTATTTTGCAATCAAAACAGTAAATTAAAAAAAAAAAATAGTAATAGTTTCTTTTATCAATTCTACACATAATATATATTATGCATTACTCTTAAATCAATTTGTTATATTATATATTATCATGTTAACTTAGAATACACAAATACTTGCCAAAAATATTAACTTATAAAGTTATATATTTTTTAATTTATAGTCTTTTTTAATGTGTGACATAAGTGGACAATTATTTTGAGCCAAACTTTAATATATTTTAAATTTTGTTATAAATAATATTTTAATTTTTTTGTAATTCAAGTTTTTATAGTTGTGACAATAAGAATACATTTTTGTTTCAATTTTTATGTGTTTATAATATTGATATTTACCACTTAGGTTTCTCAAGAAGAATCAAAGAAGGACCTAAAAAGTAGAGGCTTATGTCTTGTTCCAGTGTCATGCACACTTCAAGTTGGGAGTGACAATGGAGCTGATTATTGGGCACCTGCCCTAGGAGGAGCCTTTCGTTAGAAACTAAAATTTGAATTGGGGCAGCATATAGATATTAATTAATATATGCTAGCATGACTATAGGTAATTAAATTCATGGAAATTGATATAACATCATGAGCAGTCAATCTGCTCAAAAAATTTAAGGCTGATTGCTCATGATGCTATACTTCATATATAATTCCTGAATAAAATGTGTGCTAGCTAGTCATGATGAACTAAGTGTATTTGAAAGCCCTTGTTAAGACTTCTTGATTGATTAATGTATAATGAAGGTTTTATTTATTTTTATTAGCACTCTATATTTAAGATGTTGGTATTATTAATGCAATATTTGTATTAATCATTTGAATGCAAATTTTTTTAGTAACATTTAAAATGAGTATTATTATGATTAGGAAAAATATTATTTTTGGTCTCGTATGTTAATTTTAATGTTTATTTTGGTCTTTTAACTTAAAAAAGATTTATATTGGTCCTTTAATTTTCAAAATATTTTATTTTATTTCTTTTTGTCTAATTAGCGACGAAAAAAATTTAGAAATTGGTGGCTAAATTCGCCACCAATTAGATAAAAATAAATAAAATGAAATGTTTTGAAAATTAAAGGACCAATATGAATCTTTTTTAAGTTAAAAGACCAAAAATAAACATTGAGATTAACTTACAAAACCAAAAAGTATTTTTCTTTATGATTAACTATATGTTGTTTTTCACTAGTACTCTTCTAAGCTAACATAATATGGAGACGATTTATATCATGTTTAAGAAAGTTAGGAAATCAAAATAAAAATTGTTCCGGACTAGGCAACCCAATCTAATGTGAGAATCAAATCAAATGATTTTGTCACTTTGTTTTACGATCTAACGATCAATTAAGAGATATGTTCGACAAGTGACAAGCATAATTGTCAATAACCCACAATCCCATCAAGTTGATAGTGCAACTGCTTCTCCATTCTCTCTTGTTGTTGCTTTGAATAAATCTCAAAAAAAAAGTTTTCTCTCCCTGCCCATGAAATCTGAGATTCCACACTTCACAAAGGGATATGTCACTAATCAACTTCTCAACGACTTGTTAATGTTCATCTAACATCATCCCTAACTCAGTGTCGAACAAGTAGATGTTTAACTAGAGACAAAAATGTACAATGTCAACTTTTGATATAGAACACAAGAAGTTTTTCTTACCTTTTTTATTTTTAACGAAAGATGGTATTTTGAACAACATGGAATGGAAGAGTTTCAAGAAGACACATTTTAGAGGAATGGGGAAACATTATTTGCGGTGGGACATTTTTCCTATAGGGGATCAAAGCACGAAGAAGTTGACATTGAGGTTGTAATTGTTTACTTCTCTTAGATTCCAGATAACATCGGTGCTAAAAAAATCTTTGAGGTCTTTAGTAATCATGGAGAAATATTGGAGTTGGTGATACCTCCGAAGGTGAACAAATTCTATAAAAGATTTGGGTTTTCTAGGTTTAAAGGGGTGGATGATTCGAGGAGGTTGGCGATACGTCTTGACAACATCTTTTTGGACAACAAAAATATCCATGCCAACCTACCCATATTTGTTAGAAGATTAGGTGGTGTTGTCAGAGGTAAAGAAGAAACTAGAAAACAAGGAGAAACAAGATCTAATAAATTTGTGCCAAAGATAAAGTCTTTTGTTCAAGGAGATCTTGTGGGGAGCAAATCTTTCGTGGAGGTCATAGGGAACAAACAGTCTCCTCTCCTAGCAGATCCCAGAATGAACTCGGCTCTTTTGGAATTTCACTTAAAAACATTAGACTTAGTGAGGTTTAAGAATGTGTTTGTTGGATTTGTGGTCAATTTGGGACCTTTTTATAATATCCAAACCCATTTCGAGATGGAAGGGTATTTCTCTATCAAATTGTTAGACTATGGCAACTTATCTAGAGGGGAGTGGAAAGATCCCCAAATAAAAATTATCTTTCAAAATAGGTATTTAACAACTTGTTTGAAAAATAATGTTGAGCAAAAGGTTTTTGGCCTAGAATAATACAGTAGTCTAAACGAACCTAGTTATTGGAAAATATGGAATTAACATAATGATAAAATCAATCAACATAATAATATCTCAATTAATAGTTTAATATCAAACATAAAAGTTTCATATTTTTAATGAAATTTAAACAAAAATATATAACATTGCAATTTAACAAACACTTGGTGTGTGTTCGACTTTTCACAAATTTTCCTTTGAGGTGTGTTAATATGAAAAACTATTTATAATCAAAGTGATTATAAGTTAATCAAAAAACCACTTTAAACAAAAGAATTGTAGAAAAATTCTTACGAGTCAAACGACCAAACAATGATATTCGGCAAGAACTAACAAAACAATTTGCCGAACACTTGGTGTGAAATAGAAATTTCAGAATTTTTCTTTGAGTTATGATGATACACAAAAGCACTTATAATCAAAATAGATTATAAAAAAAAAATTCTCAGTTCAAACAAAAACAGTTTAGGAAAATTACTACGAGTCAATCGATAATGAAATGTTATTTGATAAATTAACCGATGAGAATTAAAGCAAGTAAAAAGATAAGAAAAAGCACACGAGGATTTTTCTACATTGTTCCCCACTTTCGTCCTCGCCTGTGGGTACATCTGCGTCCAATTTCAATTTGGAATTAGGATACTTTCTTACTTTGTAAAAGTATGATTACAAGAGAAGTGTTCAAGAGCAACCCTACAAACCATAATCGTTTGATGATGATTCAACCCGTTATCTTCTTTTGATCTTCAACAAGACCAAGACACAATAGCTGCCAATTAGTTATCTGGATATTGCTACTCCTTTGTGTACTTTATCTCCAAAGATTTCGCGCACCATCAATTACACCTATTGCAACACAAAATTTTAATTCAATTTTCCGTTCTCGCGCTACTTCCTTTGCATTCTTTATCTCCAAAGGATCCTTTAAATTCTTTATCTCCAAAGGCTTTCACTAGGTTGTAATTCTCTCTTGAATGTATTGTATGAAAACCCCCAAATCAAGTATATTTAGTTTATATAAAAAAAGTATATTTAGTTTAAATAAAACATAATATATTTAATTTATATAAAAAAATAGTATACTTACTTATTTAGTATACTTTATTATTAATAAAAAAAAGTGCATGATTATAGTTATTTAGTATTCTTATTTAGTTTAAAGTATATTTATTGATAAAATCTTAAAAATTTGTTAATATATTATTACTCCCCCCTTTTGTCTAATAAATTTAAACATAAATAATGTTATAAATGTGCAGTATGAAATATTATCAATTCTATCGTAGTTGAATGTATGATAGAATGTTTTCGAAAAGACGTGGGTTTAAACCACAATTTAAGGAAGGACTTGACATGTTTCTCACATATGCGTTTACTCACGAATGGTGTCGTAGAGATGGAGGGGTAATATGTTCATGCTTAAAGTGTGGTTGTAGAAGTATAATCAATGACCGTAGTGAAGTCAAACAACACTTGGAGAGAGTGGGATTTAGCCCAGATTATTGGGTTTGGACATCTAGTGGAGAAAATTTTCCATAGATGAATAGGGAAGCTTATAGAAATCAAACACATGTTGGACCAGACAAAAATATAGATGGTTCGAGTAGTCAAGCACAAATGCAATACCAGGAGCAATTTAATCTAGTAGAGGATATGGTAAGTGACGCATTTGGGGTCAATGTGGCTTACGATGAACCTGGAGACTTTGATGCAGAAGAGCTTCTGAATAAGAATGCACAAAAGTTTTATCAGTTGTTGAAAGAGATAAATATACCATTGTTTGAGGGATTTTCTGACTCTAGGATCTGAATGTGTGTGAGACTCTTGGCTGCAAAGTCAAATAGGAATGTGCCAGATCAGTGTTTGGAGTTCTTTGCAAAAATGATGTTGGATGCGACTCCTGTGAAAGAAAACATGCGTACAAGTTATTATGATGCAAAGAGGATGGTGTCGAAGTTGGGATTAGAAGTACAAAGATTGATTGTTGCATTGGAGGTTGTATGCTATTCTATGACAATGAGTTTGGCACAAATGATGGGCTTTGGAGGAATGTAAATTTTGCAAGAGTCTGAGGTATTTAGTTCGCAGTAAAGGCATTGATCGAAAGCAAAAACGATTTGCAGTGAAGTCGATGTTCTATCTGCCAATAATACATAGGTTGCAAAGGATATTTGCATCAATGCATAGTGCAAGCCAAATGACATGGTATCATACGGACCTAACAAGTTCGGGCATGATGCGACATCCGTCTGATGGAGTGGTTTGGAAACACTTTGATAGAGTAAATCCATATTTTGCAGCAGAACCCAGAAATGTCAGGCTTGGATTATGCTCATATGGTTTTACTCCTTATATCCAATCGTCAGCAATTGCCTATTCTTGTTGGTCAGTTATTGTTATCCCATACAATCTCCCTCCTGAGATGTGTATGACCAAACCGTACATGTTTTTGACATGCATCATTCCAGGACCATCGAGTCCAAAGACAGGAATAGATGTATATTTACAACCTTTAATTGATGATTTGAAGAGGTTGTGGAATGGACTTATGATATGTCGCGCAAACAAAACTTCAATATGCGAGCTGCTTTGATGTGGATAATTAATGACTTTCCTGCATATGACATGTTGTCTGGTTGGGGTATGCATGGAAAAATGGGATGTCCGCATTGCATGGTAAAGACAAAAGCATTTACTTTGGAAAATGGTGGGAAAAGTTTGTGGTTTGACTGTCACCGTGGGTTTTTACCTAGAAACCATGAATTTAAAAGAAATAAGAATGCTTTTAAAAAAGGAAAAAAAGAAACAGATCTCCCCCCCCCCCCCCCCCCCCCCATCGGTTGTCATCAATTGATGTATGGAATAATGTTTATGACCTTCCAAAATTCCAAGGTCATGGTAAAGCATGCAAGATTCCAGGATACGGGAACACACACAATTAGACAAAAAGAAGTATTTTTTGGGACCTACTGTGATACGGTGGAAGAACTGA